ACACACACAACACACCCCTCACAACCACTCACTACACACATCACACATCACCCCACAACCAAACCACCGCCACCCCACCACCCACCACACACACCAGAACACACACACACCACAATAACACCACAGTCACACACAGACACCCACCACCACAGAACACCCACCACAACATCCACACCTTACAAACAACACATACCAGCACAGCACTACACACACCACAACACACAAAACAGCCACACCACACACCACCATACACACCCCACACAACACCACCACACACCACACACACATCACCAACACAACCAACCAATTCCACACACCACATCACATCACACAGACACACACCCCACCACTAAACACACCAGCACATACGCACACATTGCTCACACAGCACTTACACAACAACTTCAACAGTACACAAACTCCACACACACAACAAACAGAGCAACACATGCACAGCACAAACACGACCAGGCACAACACACAACGGCACCTGACCACCGACACACACCACATCTAACACACCACACACACACACCACACCAGCCCCAACACCGACACACAAACACTCAAACCCACACAATCACTGAACCCAACAAACCTCCTTTTCCATCACGAGACATCAAGTTTAAACATGCATAAAAGCAAGGGAGACAGATGATACACTCAATCAACACACACTAACACGTAGCCAGCACAGATCATAAGGGAACACAAAGCAATAGCAATGGGTAAGACATGATCCACAGACCATCGGCAAAACACAGGATGAGAGTGACTGGGATTGGTGGAAGTAGTGTTAGTGTTGTTAGGTGTGTTGAATATTCCTGCTGCTGTTTAGCCACACTGACCACAGCAACATGGAACCTCACATACTCCTGGAGTTTATTTGAGAGTTTCCGTTGTCAACGCCCGGTCGGCCACGGTCGAAAGCCTCATGGTGGATCAAGTGATAGGTGTGTGTGTGAGCAATAGAGCCATAGCGGCTGACCTGAGATTCTAGGTGCTTGTGTGCTGAGTATTCAGGTGATGTGTTGTAGGATGCGTAGTGTAGTGTGGGGCAGTTGTAACATCCGCTGAGACACTATGGTTTTAAAGGCAGGACCCTCTTTCTTGGGGGAGTTTGACCTGGAAGTTTTATGTTCTTGGGTGTTGGTCAACGTTCGACGTCCCTCTGAATTTTCCAGGCTCTATTGATCATGAGCCTGATCCAGACCAGGTGTTCTGCTGGACTGCAGCGCTACAATAATGACGTGTCATCAGTCCGGTGTATCCGGAAAGTCTCTGACATTTCTAGGTCGGCAATTGTCCAGTGCGCTTGAAGGTGCTGTCTGTGTGACAGATAATTCCCCTATGCTGACCTGGAGTGTCATCATGGGTTGGCCTCCCTAGTTTGGAAGATCCATGACACTTATCCTGTCTATTTTCTTAGCAGATGCATGATCACCCTGTTATTCATTGGGTGGATTTGCATGTCTGCCAGTCTTTGAGCTTGTGTTTCGTATTTTCGTGGCCAAGTTGGTACTGAGAAGATCCTCTAGAACATTTCCGGTGTAATGAAATTTCATCGTTGATCTTCTTCTGCGCCCATGAAAGATTTAGGAACCTGGAGCTTGCGTGTCTCAATGGAATTGAGTTGCTATCTCGGCGTTATGCGCCGTGAGAAGTCTGTGGCTACATTTCTTGGTGCTAATTACCTGTTGAAAGAGTGGGTTAGTGTGCAGCATACTCCAGCCTATGTGAACAAGTACCGAAGTGCTCACTTCATGGGTTCGGCCCTTCCCTAGTTTTGTTAAGGTTATAGTCTCATATCGACTCCTGTCATTTCCTTTCAAGCATTGTGCGCATTGTACATGTGTACTTGTCTGAAGGCTTTTGAGAGTCCTCGTAATATATTCAGGTCTTGATCGTTGTTGTCTTCATGCATCTAGATTTGTAGTGGCCAATATTTTTGTATCTGTGAAGACTACCTTTTTAACCTCATGTTTCCATATCTGGAGTAATGTGAATATGGGTTCTACTGTTGATCTTGCTTTTAGATCTTTCCAAACATTTTTAAAAGGATTTAGTGTTGATGCTTGCTTGAGCTTTGCTAGTTACTGCCCCCTTTATGGAATGACTTTATCTTTATCTTGGACGACCGGGCCTGCTCTCTGCAATAGGATGGACACGGCTCTGTGCTAGGGACAAACCTTGTCTATTCGATGAACAGAGTTATGAGTCTGCTGGGCAGATGCGGTACTGTGCTTTGCTGTGAATCATTGGCTCAGTTACATCGTAGGCTTGTCGTACTTTATGTTGCGCTCTCTCTATAAATTCTTTTGATCTCGACTTCGTCTGTATGCGCTGCTAAAAACTGATCAATATTTAGATCTCGACCGATTTTCTTGTGTATTCTTTAGACCATCATTGTTAGTGGCCCATTACGCAGGTCACATTGTTTCGAATTGTTGATTGCATAGTCTGATATAGAATACTTTGGGTTTCTTTCATTTCATTTAGTGCTTTTAGGTACCTTGTCGATCTGGTCCTAAATGTTGGACAGTACAGGAGCTGACTTTCTCAGACCAGTGTTGCCCTTCATTTCAGATAATTGATGGGTGTTAGCACGTGGTTGATCTTCCGCTGTCTTAGGACCGCTTTTCTAAAACTTCCTTTTCATTAGGGCCTGTGTA